AAAGAGAAATCGAATTGTTGATCGAAGCAGGATATAGAGATATTGTAGAGTAGCCCCAACTCAGAACCATCTCCCTTTAGCCTCCACTTCGGGAAGCTGGTTTCATCAAGAGGGGGAACAACAGAGAATGGAGGAAAGACTCTCTTAGATAGGGTTGCCAGGTGTCCGGTTTTTGCCCAAATGGTCTGGTATTTGTGGCCTCGGACAGAAGGCCGGTGGGGACATTCTTCTCCTGTCGCGTCTGGCAGAGAAGAACGGAGAGCATGGGGATTTTTATATTTTATTTTATTTTTTTTGCTCCGAAACTTTGGTTCCCCCTTTTTTTTAATCTCCTTTTTTTTTTCCTCCTCAACCAATTTTTTCCCCGCCGTGTTCAGGATTTTTTGTGAAAGTATCTGGCAACTCTACTTAGATAGGACCCACATTCTAACAGGTGAGAAAAGCGATTGTTGCCACCTCAACAAAGAGTTTACTCCAGGGGATAGGGATAGAGCTGTGAAATACAGACAGGCTGCAGTGATAGGAATCAGTACATGGCGCCAAGAGGTCCACTTGGTGATGGACATCTAGCGAAACATCTAGGGATTGCTGGGATACTCGTTGGTACCTGTATTTTAAGGCTGTAGAGGACAGAACAAGAGAGGTCTGGGAGCTGAATTTAGTTTTCTAGAAGAAGTTTTGAGTCAAGACTTTCCCTTTTAGTTTACTCTAAAATGCTTCCAATTCCATGCTCCTTGGTATTTCAATGTATGGATGTATGGATAAGTGTAGGAAGTAAAGAGGTTTACATTCATTATGCACCAGGGAACATTCTCCTGAAATGGAATCACCCCAAATCACTAGCCACTTCTGAAAATCTTGGCCCGTGGTGGTTGGTTTATTTAAATTATGAGGTGGAGGAAAGCCTGCAGCTGCTGAGGAACACTTGAGTCAGATGTACACATTTGCCAGGGACATCAGTCAGACACTCCCATGTCTGGTAGGAGAAGATAGGATAGAAGTTACAGCTGAATCGGAGAAAGAATAGGTTCAAATCACAAAGGTGTATCCTGGAAAAGTAACTGGAGCTAATACAAATACACAAAGGGTGAAAAAAATTCCTCAGAATTCTGTGCACTAGAGTGAGAACACAAAATGAGAGAAAGCAGAATGCCTAAAAATCTCTCTCTTAAACCACTGAGAGAACTGAGACAGGACAGATACTGGCGAGCTTAGAGCTCTTTCATTTTGTCATTAGTAAAAAAAAAAAAATTAGAAATTAGATGAAAACCCCAGGTATTCATATTTTGTTATGTTCCTTCTAGCAATTAAGAATCAAGTAACGGGGAAATTCATTTTAAATGAAGACAACTATGTACCGGATTCTAAAGTATTTGTGGACATGGGTGTGGAATGGGAATACCGGAATGATAATGACAGAGAAACAGTGCAGACCATGGGGCCTTTGCACAATGGAATAGTCATCCTGGTAAGTCACTTGAAAACCATCTTCTGTGGGCTGAGTCATAAAGTGCTATAATATATTGCAGTTTCCTTTTGTGAAATACATTGTCATCTGCTTTCAGAATAAAAATGATGTGTTTTAATCCCTTTCCAATTTGCTCATTACCACTTACTGCAAAGGTGTTTAACAGTGACTCCAGGCTTATATGTCAAGGTTCTGTCCTTCCCGATTATTTCCTGTGGATGGCCTAATCATCACTAGCTAATAGATATCCAACTTACTGATCACAGCTGAAATGCGAACATTACAGAAAAAAATCAAGGTAGCACATCACAGTCCGATACAGTGGCGGCCCGTCAATACAGGCGGTCGCCTAAGGCACTAAGATAAACGGTCATTGAGGGCTTTGGAGGTGGGTGTGCCGATAGCGCACCGATTGCACATTTTGTCTAGGGCGCCAGTTGCCGGCAGCTCGTCTAGGGCCGCTCCTGGTTCGATATACATTACCCTTTAACAATTTCTGCACCCACTTTTGAAAATCTCTGCCACAGGATCCTTTTGCATCAACATTCGTTTCATTGAGTCCCCTAGATGGTTTAATTCATATCAGAATTTTATTTCAGAAATCTTTCAAACTGTGCTAGTGATCTACTATATATTGAAGAGGGTTTGTCTGTCTGTCTGTCCGTTTGCTCAAGAATGGCTCCTAAATAGTAAGAGCTAGGACCACCAAGTTCAGTATACAGCTTCCCCTTTTCATAACGTAAAGCTACATAGGGATTCGGTTGTGCCAGGAAAATGGGATATGCCTGGAATGGGATTGCTTCTCATAAAACCAAACAGAAACGAGACAGAATCACCAAATCAAATACAGTCCTTAAATTTGACGTAACCGAGTGAATGTTGAAAGACACTGAACCAAGATGAGCCAGAAAAATAGGATGAACCTGGAAAAGGCTTGTGTCTCAATAAACCTTACGGAAAAGAGATAAAACAGAGAAATGTGAAATAGTACTCTGTTTTGGCACAGCTAAATCAATGCTTATGGTTTGAAAACTAGAAGAAAATAGTACTGGAAACCAAATTGACTGTAGCTCTTTTTTTCTTTATTACTCAACAAAAAAATAAAAATAAAATAATAAACACGGGAAATAACACTGAGGAAAATAACAAATAAGTATAACTTAATTGAGTTAAGGTCCCAAGCAACGCTGGGTAAATCTGCTAATGCTGTATATTTTAAAACAGTAAATGCAGGTTAAATATATTTGGGCCAGGCCAGCCATATGTGTAAATTGAGAGTCTCACTGAAGTTTGTGGTGCTGTGCTGAAAAAATAAAAATTACATTCTCTAAGGGCCAGATTTCAATATCTTTCCTCATGTGGAATAGCAACATATTCCATCCATGATTTCGTTGGCTTCAGTACTACAGAGGAAACTGGCTCTATATTAATTTTTTATGTGAAAGCTCCTTTCCTTGGTTAGGTAATGTGTTTATTATTCGTAACCTTTGAAAGACTGGTGTAAGAAAGGTTGTGTTTATGGTGGAAGTCATGAAAATCCTTTCCACCTCTTTTTGTTAGTCTTTGCATTTTAATTCACCTTTGTTTTCAATGGAGTCACCATTATTATGGTACCCTAATGTTTCTCTACTTTAGAATATGAGATGGAAAAATTTACGGCTTTAAAGTCAATGCAACACTGGCAAGAAAAATCCAGAGCCGTGGCAGTTTATGTAAATGTACAGTATTCGAATCCCTGTGTCTCAAAGATAAAGAGATATTTTACAGCAAGAATAGATCTATTGGGGTTTAAGTGTTTAAATCTGTTGGAGAGTTTTTTATATGCATGCCATGATTGTCCTTGTAAGATTGATCTAAGCTTTTTAAAGGTTTTATTTTGTCTTTTTTGCTGACTAGGTGATTCCGCGGGGTGGTGCCAAGATTTCTTTGACTTACAAATACATGATCCATGAAGACTCCTTAAATGTAGATAACAACAATGTTTTGGAAGATAATTCAGTAACATATGAATGGGCTCTGAAAAAATGGTCCCAGTGTTCAAAACCTTGTGGAGGAGGTAAAAAAATCGAAAACATGTAGAACTGATGAAAAGAAACGCCTTTTTTATTTAAATTTGTTTCACGCAATGCAATTAATCCATGGAATTCATTGCCACTAGATCGTAATAAGGCCAAGAGCTTAGCAGGATTTTATTTAAATAAAGGATTATACAAATAAAGACTAAGAACATCCATATTTGCATTATGCAGGAAAAATGTGTGAGGAATATTAACCACTGTGCCTCAGGATACAAGTTGAACACGAGCATATTTAGCAACTAGCTTCCTCTTTGCACAGCTTATCCCATAAGAGTCCATTGTCCATAATTGTCCAGAGCATCCCTTACTGCTCCTAGAGGCAGGATATCTGGCTAAGATGGACCTTTGGTCGGATAGTTTCTGTCTTTGTCCCTGTCTGTCACTGAAACGTCAAATAGAAATGACACGCAATGGCAGGTGAATCCCAAATGCTTTATGTCCAGCGTTGGAGGGGATGGGAACACTGGCTTTATAGTTAGAGCCCTGTGCGGATACAAAATTGTCTATCCACAGTTGTATCTGCAAAATGAGCTGTGGATATAAATTGGATATCTGCAGTCTTGCAGAGTTCTAGATACAAAATTTGGATCCGCATCCACATCCGCATGCAGAAAAATGCACCATGGATATCCGCATCTGCAGATGTGGATACCTGTAAATATAAAGCTAGATGGTACTGGGTCCTGCCATGAGGGCAGGGGACTGGACTCGATGACCTCTCGAGGTCACTTCCAGTTCTAGTGTTCTATGATTCTATCTGTGGATTTGCAGAACTCTATTTATAGTCATCCTCCAGAGAGTGAGGGTCCCTGGACCTGATCCTGCCACCATTCAGTGGCTTGTGTCCCAAGCTGAGAGGAGAGCACCCCTGTTGGGTGGAGAGGAGCAGCAGGACCACAGTGCCTATGGGGTAGGTGGGATTCCTCTGGCAGCTTGATGAGGGACTTCTGTAGAGAAAGCTGGATCCTCAGCCCTGGCCACCAGCTAGGTGTGAATAGCCAGAGTCTGACGGTCAGGTGAGGTGGATCCTGATCCCAGGGGCAAAGGCTGGAAATTGTTGTATGTCCAACCTGACCACCAGGTCAACCCCAGTCTAACAAACAGGTTCACCTGATGGCTGGAAGTATCATGGTCTTCTTACAGGCATCCACAAGAGGGCACCTAAAAATCATACCCAGGCCTGACCTGGTGACGGGCCTGTGCTGGGGTTGACCTGATGTCGGGGTCAGGCTTGTCTGCACGCTTCCAGAAGATTCAGTTATTTATTGTGATTATAGCTTTGTTGTGAGAAGACAAAGAGGCCTGGTAGTTCTGGGTGCTAAAAGGGTAGCTGCTTGTAAGGAGTAGAGTCAACGCTAACCAGGTTCAGTCTACAATCTTGTAGAATGTTCACCTACCATTAAAAATGCGCCATTAGCCACTTGATGGACCAAGACAGTCTGAGTTGTGTGTAAGTATTGCAAATACTGAAGATAAAAGAATTATCTTTCTTAAGGTTATCAGTTTACAAAATATGGTTGCCGGAGAAAGACAGACCACAAGATGGTTCATCGGAGTTACTGCGAGACGATCCAAAAGCCAAAGCCTATTCGCAGAGTGTGCAATCTGCAGGAATGTTCCCAACCAATGTAAGCTTTGCTGTTCCTTAGAACTGGTCCTAACCCATGTCCAATTAATATGAATGGTTGATTGGATTGAAGTGCCTTCAGCTATCCCTTTATACCTTCCTACTCTGACACATGACTGTTTTAGATTAGGAGCCCTTGACCATCTTATCACATAATTGCCTAGACAGTGTTATGCAATGATACAATGTTATTGGTAAAGTGTTGCTTTCAGAAATACTATTTCCGGGAATGAGAATTTCCACCGATTCCGAGATAGGCTGGGTCAGAAAAATGCCCCTCTTAATCTAAACACTTCAAGTCAATAAATCAGAAGTGAATTGGTACATTGATTTTTGAATTTATATGAAAGCAAACATCTAGGCTACGTCTACACTGGCCCCTTTTCCGGAAGGGGCATGTAAATTTCATGAGTCGTAGTAGGGAAATGCGCGGGGGATTTAAATATCCCCCGCGGCATTTAAATAAAAATGTCCGCCGCTTTTTTCCGGCTTTTAAAAAAGCCGGAAAAGAGCGTCTACACTGGCCCCGATCCTCCGGAAAAAGTGCCCTTTTCCGGAGGATCTTATTCACAACATTCGAAGTAAGAATAAGATCCTCCGGAAAAGGGCACTTTTTCCGGAGGATCGGGGCCAGTGTAGACGCTCTTTTCCGGCTTTTTTAAAAGCCGGAAAAAAGCGGCGGACATTTTTATTTAAATGCCGCGGGGGATATTTAAATCCCCCGCGCATTTCCCTACTACGACTCATGAAATTTACATGCCCCTTCCGGAAAAGGGGCCAGTGTAGACGTAGCCTGATTGTCATACAAACACCAATAAAATCACAGCATATTTTTAAAGCTGCAAACGAGGTGGAGGGGGGATCATTTGGCTCATGCAAATAACTGTTTCTATTGAAACATTTGTGTTGATTTCCATGGATATCTCACAACAACATTTTAAGAGATTATTGTTCGTGCTTCCTTATTGTTGTACATAGTCAGTTATTACGGATGTATTTATTCACATTTTACAGGTGCTTTTTTGACTGGCAGCAAGTTAACCCTGTCACATGTAGGACTCACATATTTCCCCTGTTGCTACCGCAACAAGTAAGGAGTAAGTTGATCTACAGCTTTTATGTCTGGCAAACAAGTCTAGATTCCAGTGCATGTGATGAATAACTAGACAAATCC